GAATACAAAGCCTGCCGTGATTGGCTCAGCGCGGTATACTGTATGTAGCCGTAGCTACATACAGTATACCCGGCGTATAAGACAACCCCCCCATTTTTGGGCGATTGTTTTTGGGTCTAAAAACCCATCTTATACGCCGGCAAATACGGTAATTTTGTGTAAATATCTAGTAATGTAGATATCTATCTAGTAATTATATTAGTTTTGTTTTTCAAAAATTGCAGGAACTTTTGAAAAAAAAAATTCCCTCCTCTTCCCAATATATATACCTCTAGAATATACAGTGTGGCAAATAATGATTTGATCCCCTGCAGATTTTTGTAAGTTTGCCCACTTACAAAGAAATGAAAGGTCTATAATTTTTATCATAGGTGTATTTTAAATGATAGAGACAGAATATCAACCGAAAATCCTGAAAAAACACATGATACAAATGTTATATGTTGAGTTGCAGTTTAGTCAGTAAAATAAGTATTTGATCCCCAAGGAAAACATGACTTAGTACTTGGTGGCGAAACCCTTGTTGGCAAGCACAGAAGTAAGACGTTTCTTGTAGTTGGTTACCAGGTTTGCACACATCTCAGGAGGGATTTTGGTCCACTCTTCTTTACAGATCTTCTCTAAATCCTTAAGGTTTCTTGGTTGTCGCTTGGCAACTCCAAGTTTCAGCTCCCTCCATACATTTTCTATAGGATTAAGGTCTGGAGACTGGCTAGGCCACTCCATGACCTTAATGTGCTTCTTCTTGAGCCACTGCTTTGTTGCCTTGGTGGTATGTTTTGGGTCATTGTCATGCTGAAAGACCCATCTACGACGCATCTTCAGTGTTCTGGCTGAGGGAAGGAGGTTCTCATCCAAGATTTTACAAAACATGGCCCCGTCCATTGGCCCCTCCAATGCAGCAAAGTCTTGATGTTCTTAGGGTCATAGTCAGCATTTCTCTTCCTCCAAACACGGCAAGTCGAATTAATGCCAAAGAGCTCAATTGTGGTGTCATCTGACCGCAGCACTTTCTCCCAATCCTTCTCTGAACCATTTAGATGTTCATTGGCAAACTTCAGACGGGCCTGTACATGTGCCTTCTTGAGGAGAGGGACCTTGTGGGAGCTGCAGGATCTCAATCCATGGCGTTGTATTGTGTTACCAATGGTTTGTTTGGTGACTCTGGTCCCAACTGCCTTGAGATCATTCACAATCTCCTCCCCGTGTAGTTGTGGGCTGAACCCTCACTTTTCTCCATGATCATCCTCACCCCATGAGGCATAATTGAGATAATTGTAAGGTGTATGGCCAGCTTTACTTTGACAGGACTAATCTGTGTACCACACAGCCAGTCTGTGGGAGCCAGAATTATTGCTGGTTGGTAGGGGATCCAATACTTATTTTACTCACTGAGCTACAACTCAATTTATAACATTTGTATCATGTGTATTTTATGGTGATATTCAGTCTCTATCATTTAAAATACACCTATGATAAAAATTATAGACCTTTTCATTTCTTTGCAAGTAGGCAAAGTTACAAAATCTGCAGGGGATCACATAATTGTTTTCCTCAGAGTGTGTGTGTGTGTGTGTGTAGATGTATGTGTAAGATATAATTACACACACACACACCCCACCCACCCAGATGTACTATCTAATTATAGCCCAATGCATCCGCAATGGAAAAAAAAACTTGACTGAAATAGTTAAAATATCATTACTATTATACTGGCATTAATTGTGAGGTTCTATAATATGTCTATAGAGAAAACAGAAAATGGAGCTAGAAGGTTAAAAAAAAAGGTTTCTTAGAAATAAAATACTAATTCATGAGGCATAAAGGCTTGCAATAGTTAACCACTTTGGCATTGTTTTTTTTTTTTTTTAAACCACGCTTCAGAAATTTCTTTCAGCCCCATTGTT